TATCAACAGATGTCTCAACAGGGGCCTCAGAAGTTCGAGCGATCGCCGGTAGAACTGAAGGATGTTTTTCAGCAGAATCACTCGTGAATGTCAAGATGAAAACCGGTAGTGTTGCGTCCACGCCACGCCACTCCACTCTATCAGCCTTCACGACATGGTTGAGTCGGTAGACGAGCAAACCCGACAGCGTCTACAACATTGAGCATGAGCAGCAAGACGCTCGCGCCCAACTTCTGCGCATCGTGTATAGAGATCATTCCAACGGGAGCCAGTCTATTGGCATCAGTGGATGTCATCTCATTTACGCAAAAGAAAACGGCCAGTCAACCAAACATGCGCCTCTTAAAGATCCAATCATGGCTATGGATGTGAAAGAGGATGATACCATTTGGATTATGAATAATGGAAAGCTGGTTTCCACTAAGGTTACGGGTGGGTGAAGCAATCCACGAATTGAGAAGTTGATATTTGACTGTGATCAGTGTCCTGCAGTGAGTTAAACCAGATTCCAGCAAGGGTAACACACGTTCTCATAGTCTTTTAACGGTGGAGCTTTTTTCTTGAACTTTTCCTTTAGATGTGATGACTTACTTTGGCGCTGTGCGTCATCCACCGACAGAAAACCATCACGTGATTGTTGACACATTTCACGCCTCAGTTCACATCTTGAACGAACAGCTGTATCGTAAGTTCACATATTGGGCGAACTCTGAGTGGAACTGCAGCTGGCTCGTCAAAAAACTGGTTCTGGACCGGGTACAGAACGGGAAGGAGCCTTTCTTCACAAGCTCCCTAACCGAGCTATTGGAGTACTGGACTGGGTCGGCTTTGCCTAGTATATTATCGTCTCCAAAAAGTCACTAAGGGCCGCGGGAATTCACAGCTAAGGAAGTCATTATGTTTTCAAATGCAATGTGACTATAAAGTTTAATAAATTTAACTTCAGTGGCAACTGTCTGGGTTAATTGTTTGCGTCCCTGATACAAACACACACACACGCACATGATGTATATCTAGCCGAATTTCTTTAAAAAAAGGTACCTCAAAAGGCCCAAAATATTCGCACAAGAACCTGGTGCCTGCGGTTTCTGGTACCTGCGGTGAGAATATGCATAGGGGGCTTGCTGTCCTGATATGTCTCATCGTCAAGCTCAGTCCCTAAGCTAATTTGCCATGGGTATGGAAGGGGTCTCCATGCCAATTTCTAGGAGGGGTGTGCTGCAAAAGCCCCATATGGTCGGTTAGTCTCTCTGGAGAGTCAGTTCACTGATCTTTTCTCTACTTTAAGTTTTTCATGCCAGGCTCTTTAAATTTTTTTCGCCGATTGCCTTATAAAGGATTCCAATCGCTCACGTGCTTTTATTTTGGCTGTGTCAGGTCAGGTGGGTGATGTGGCCTTAAATTCGTTCCTCAGAGCTTGCTTAACTCTAAAGCTTTCTCTGTCATGTACAGTCTGAAAGCAGCCAGGGTGTATGGTCAAATTGAGAATGTCTTTTTTATGGACTTGAATGTTTCTTTGCTAATCAGGAACCAAGGAGAGAGTCACCTTGGAGGGCTTATGGGTAAAAGCTGACTTGATTTACAAGATCTTTGCTTGATTTAAGTCAAGTTAAGCTGTGTGGCCTTAAGTTCCAAGCTGGTGCGGCATTCATAAGTTTGGATAGAAGATGTTGTTGATAGATGACAGTGGGCAGGAATGAGGCGAGATTGGGTCCAGAGGAGGCCAATTTGGACTGAGGGGGCCTCCTTGTTGGAAAAGAAAGGATTTCTGGTCAATAATTAAATCCTGAAAAATGCCCCAGCATTGAAGCACACCGGCCTGAGACGTTGCTTGCGACTTCGAAATGGCACAGTTTGAAAGATTCTCAGAATTCTTTGGAAACAATTGTTGCCCAGAAATCCAATATTTTCTCAGAAGGAGGTCACCTCGAGTCAAATTCGCCTTCTCCAGACGCATTTTTAAAGCGCATTTAAATATTGTATGATTGAATTTTCGCAAATTCATTCATTCATTCTTCCTCTTCTTCTTTTTGTTTCCTGATAAGCAAAAGCATGGCAAGGACTTGTTGCGGCTTTTTCGACGAATTTTGAGCAAATACAGGTCAAGCAAATTAATTTGAAGGATTCTGGACGATAACAAGCAAGCTAAACGAGAAGAACGTCTCGATGTTGCTCGATGGCCACAGCATTTTCTTTGGACAAGGTGTCTTAGTTGTCTCTTCCCTCTCATTCATTCCAAGATTTTGTAGTTTTGTCTCTAGATCCTTCTGTAGTCCATCCAAATCCATCTCTCCAAGTGTCCCGACGGAGGTGTCACCTAGTATTGGAAATATGCATACCACAACACTATTCACTCACTTCATTAAAAGTCACAGTGAAAAAGTCACACCCACAACACGTCCCGAACGCTGCTCTAGTCTTAATTGAAGTAAAAAATCTATATTTAATACATACAGTCAGACCTGTGTAGCGGTCACCCTGTATATAGTCACCGGACTAGAGACAGCAATGGTTTCAGAGCAAGATTGCAAAAGTCTGTGAACATTTTAAAACAGCGTCAATGTGTCCCTTCAAGGTAACTTTATTAACAAAACAAGGTTTAACTATTTCAAGGTTTGAACTAGATTATTGGCAGTACAAATTAAGCAAGTAACCAAATTTGGAACACTTTGAAAGCCCATGTTCAGTATATATGATGTGATTATCTTTTTCACTTAATGGGATAAAAACATTTAGGGCTCGACTTCCAGTGACCAATATTTTAAAATAATCGCCTCCCTGGAATAATCGCCTCCTGTTGTTGGTGTGAAAAAAAGAAAATCGTCCCAGCAATTTTTCGAGGAAATATGGTATGTACTGTACACTTAAAGCACAGGTTAAAAAACAATATGGAGAGGACAAAAACAATCTGGATATAAAACTCTTACCATGTTACTCTAAGAATTACAGTACTGTGCAAAAGAAATGCAAACGAAATTTGGTGTTTTTCGTTCTTTGTTCTGGCGAAAGTTTGACGAAATTTCGCCACGAAATTTCTTCAAAGCGTTCGCGAATTATCGTTGAGTCAAAAATTTCGCTATCATCTTGGCGAAATTTCCTATCCACTGAAGCGAAATTTCGTTTTGCCGAAATTTGGTCGGAGCGAAAATTCGCCAGGGCGAAAATTCACAGCTGCGAAATTTCCACAGAGCGAAATTTTGCTGGCAGTGGAGGAGAGTTGTAGTGAAAACCTTTTGTTCGCACCGCTTTACACCATTAGCCCGAGTAATTTATTTATTTTAGACTTCAGTCGCACGCGCGACTTTTGAGGTGACAGTTTTCATGTAAGTCAAAAGCAAAGTTGTTTTATTATTCGGCGTGATATTTCATTTGGGTCTGAAAGATAAAATGTTAACCTCTTTTCAGTTATTATTGTCTCAAAAACCTAAACCATCAGTTTGAATAACCAATAAACTAATCCTTAAAGAAAGGCTTATTGATTCCACTACATATATTGTTTACCGTCTTTGCACTTTTGACTTTAGTCACACGCGCGGCTTGTTGAGGTGAGACTTTGCATGTAAGTCAAAAGCGTATTGTTTATTTATAAGCTGGGAATTTCTTTTGCCTCTCAAAGATAAAATGTTTACCCTTTACAGTTATTATCGTCTCCATACCCTAAACCATTAGTGCGGATAACGAATAAGCTAATTCTCACAGCAAGTCAATTAATTCAACTATCTGGTTTACGATCATCGCACGCTCGGCTTTAGAGGTGAGACTTTGCATTTATTGCAAGGTTGCATTGTTCACTGATACTGGGCGGGTTAGGTTCATTTGGCTCTCCTGTAATTAAAATAATATCCCGTTTCCAGTTATTCTGGTCTAAATACCCTAAACCATATAGCCCGAATAAGAAATAAACTTTGCTGAGTTGTCAAAGTAGTTTATTGTACTTTTTGTACTGATTGATTGATTTTCAAAATAAATGATCGATTGGTTGGTCTTCCGGGATTAATGCTGGAAAACCTACCAAGAGTTATTGATATGTTGTAGTATTTCGGAACGCTTTTGCCTTCAGTGTAAAGCCTTTGATCTTTTCAACAACATGAGGTATTATTTTTGGGTGATGGGGCTGTTGAAGACCTGTGACGTCACCAACAATGGTCGCCATCTTTGATTTTACCAAAAAGAAGAAATCAGGTTTGAAAAAATAGCAGTTTTTTTGTCCTTGACATGAAAAAGTAACACAAATAAGCACTTTACAGTTAATTTTCAAGCGGTACGATCAACTTTGCAGATTTCAATATGTCCACTTGGTATATTTCTAGTGATCAGGTGTTGACCTGATTCAGGTCATAATAGTTCTGCGGCATTCTCGATTGCGTTCCCTTCCAGTTAATGCTCTTTGCTTTTGAGTTGTTTAAATATTTAGCGAAGGAGGCGCTCCAAAAGCCCCGCCCCGATGTGAATAGGGTTAATTGATGCCAAGTAGTACAAAAAGTTACAATTTATCACCGGTAAACAAGACTCGTGAAAGGCACGAGGAGTAATCCTCATCTCTTCCACAGGGGAGTCTGACTCCACTCCTCCTCCCAGTTACTATCTCTACCCTATGGTTAGAACGTTTCACCTAATTTTGACTCCACTACACAACATCAACAGACAAAACGTAATGGCAAATAAGGACGGCTTGGCTAGAACCAACCCTACAAAGTACTTATGTAAATACAATAACAGGTGATTACTGGTGAATACCTAAAGTACAACACTCGTTAACTAGCTTTCACAAAAAGAAAAAAACTCGTGCTACAAATGGTCGCTCTTGACCTGAATCACTCAGTTAAGCACGCAGGCTTAGTGCCAGTTAGGCTGCCAGTTATTCTGGGGAAACTAATTAATAAAACTCTGACAACATATAGCTGGCACAGGGAACACGGTAGGAACACAGAGGCTAAGCAAAAAGAAAAACTGCTATAACTAGTCGATCTCGACCTAAATCCCCCAAATAAGCACGCAGGCTTAGTGCCAGTTAGGCTGGGGAAACTAATTAATAAAACTCAGACAACGCATAACTGGCACAGGGAACACGGCAGGAGCACAGAGGCTAAGCAAAAGAGAGGTCTGCTACAACTGGTCGATCTCGACCTGAGTCCCCCAAAGAAGCACGCAGGCTTAGTGCCAGTTAGGCTGACAGTTAGGCTGGGGAAATTTAATAAAACTCTGATCAACGGATAACTGGGACCGGGAACACTTCAGGAGCACAGAGGCTGAGTGCCAAGAAAACTGGGAATTATCTCCACTAATGTACCCAACAAGGCACGCAGCCCAATAACCAGTAAGGCTGCCATAAAAGGCGAGGGCAGGACATTGAAAGTAAACAAATGGATAACGACCCTGGATAGAAGTCTGTAACATTGCCTGCAACCTAACTGCATCAAACGAGACTTATGTCGCCTGCTAAAGAGCGGTTCCGGGCAGCTGACCTAGACATACATAGAAACTAAATATATCAAGTAAAGGAGCAGGTGCAAAACTGAGATAACTGTACAAGTACATAAAATTTAAGAAACGGGAAAAAACTGAAAACTAGCGGAGCTGAGCTACCGCTTACAAACTGAAGTAAATGCGGTCAGACGGAGGCCAGAAAAAACCTGCCCAAAAAAACCCCGAAGGGAAAAAATGCGGAAAGGAAATCCGGGTAGGAAGCAAGGCTCAAGCTCAAAGCCCTTCCTACGGGACTTTACAATGTCATCGAGAATATGTTGCCCCTAAAAATAAATAAAACAAAAATAAAGAAAAACCAAAGAGAGGGTGGTTCGTAAGCCTAGATGACGTACACGTGATATACGGAGCCTTATATACCCCCGATATGGCTACCCATGGTGCACCCGGCCTAGTACCCAGGCCCTGTTGTATCTCGTGCACTTTTCAGTTATTATTGTCTCAAAAACCTAAACCATCAGTTTGAATAACCAATAAACTAATCCTTAAAGAAAGGCTTATTGATTCCACTACATATATTGTTTACCGTCTTTGCACTTTTGACTTTAGTCACACGCGCGGCTTGTTGAGGTGAGACTTTGCATGTAAGTCAAAAGCGTATTGTTTATTTATAAGCTGGGAATTTCTTTTGCCTCTCAAAGATAAAATGTTTACCCTTTACAGTTATTATCGTCTCCATACCCTAAACCATTAGTGCGGATAACGAATAAGCTAATTCTCACAGCAAGTCAATTAATTCAACTATCTGGTTTACGATCATCGCACGCTCGGCTTTAGAGGTGAGACTTTGCATTTATTGCAAGGTTGCATTGTTCACTGATACTGGGCGGGTTAGGTTCATTTGGCTCTCCTGTAATTAAAATAATATCCCGTTTCCAGTTATTCTGGTCTAAATACCCTAAACCATATAGCCCGAATAAGAAATAAACTTTGCTGAGTTGTCAAAGTAGTTTATTGTACTTTTTGTACTGATTGATTGATTTTCAAAATAAATGATCGATTGGTTGGTCTTCCGGGATTAATGCTGGAAAACCTACCAAGAGTTATTGATATGTTGTAGTATTTCGGAACGCTTTTGCCTTCAGTGTAAAGCCTTTGATCTTTTCAACAACATGAGGTATTATTTTTGGGTGATGGGGCTGTTGAAGACCTGTGACGTCACCAACAATGGTCGCCATCTTTGATTTTACCAAAAAGAAGAAATCAGGTTTGAAAAAATAGCAGTTTTTTTGTCCTTGACATGAAAAAGTAACACAAATAAGCACTTTACAGTTAATTTTCAAGCGGTACGATCAACTTTGCAGATTTCAATATGTCCACTTGGTATATTTCTAGTGATCAGGTGTTGACCTGATTCAGGTCATAATAGTTCTGCGGCATTCTCGATTGCGTTCCCTTCCAGTTAATGCTCTTTGCTTTTGAGTTGTTTAAATATTTAGCGAAGGAGGCGCTCCAAAAGCCCCGCCCCGATGTGAATAGGGTTAATTGATGCCAAGTAGTACAAAAAGTTACAATTTATCACCGGTAAACAAGACTCGTGAAAGGCACGAGGAGTAATCCTCATCTCTTCCACAGGGGAGTCTGACTCCACTCCTCCTCCCAGTTACTATCTCTACCCTATGGTTAGAACGTTTCACCTAATTTTGACTCCACTACACAACATCAACAGACAAAACGTAATGGCAAATAAGGACGGCTTGGCTAGAACCAACCCTACAAAGTACTTATGTAAATACAATAACAGGTGATTACTGGTGAATACCTAAAGTACAACACTCGTTAACTAGCTTTCACAAAAAGAAAAAAACTCGTGCTACAAATGGTCGCTCTTGACCTGAATCACTCAGTTAAGCACGCAGGCTTAGTGCCAGTTAGGCTGCCAGTTATTCTGGGGAAACTAATTAATAAAACTCTGACAACATATAGCTGGCACAGGGAACACGGTAGGAACACAGAGGCTAAGCAAAAAGAAAAACTGCTATAACTAGTCGATCTCGACCTAAATCCCCCAAATAAGCACGCAGGCTTAGTGCCAGTTAGGCTGGGGAAACTAATTAATAAAACTCAGACAACGCATAACTGGCACAGGGAACACGGCAGGAGCACAGAGGCTAAGCAAAAGAGAGGTCTGCTACAACTGGTCGATCTCGACCTGAGTCCCCCAAAGAAGCACGCAGGCTTAGTGCCAGTTAGGCTGACAGTTAGGCTGGGGAAATTTAATAAAACTCTGATCAACGGATAACTGGGACCGGGAACACTTCAGGAGCACAGAGGCTGAGTGCCAAGAAAACTGGGAATTATCTCCACTAATGTACCCAACAAGGCACGCAGCCCAATAACCAGTAAGGCTGCCATAAAAGGCGAGGGCAGGACATTGAAAGTAAACAAATGGATAACGACCCTGGATAGAAGTCTGTAACATTGCCTGCAACCTAACTGCATCAAACGAGACTTATGTCGCCTGCTAAAGAGCGGTTCCGGGCAGCTGACCTAGACATACATAGAAACTAAATATATCAAGTAAAGGAGCAGGTGCAAAACTGAGATAACTGTACAAGTACATAAAATTTAAGAAACGGGAAAAAACTGAAAACTAGCGGAGCTGAGCTACCGCTTACAAACTGAAGTAAATGCGGTCAGACGGAGGCCAGAAAAAACCTGCCCAAAAAAACCCCGAAGGGAAAAAATGCGGAAAGGAAATCCGGGTAGGAAGCAAGGCTCAAGCTCAAAGCCCTTCCTACGGGACTTTACAATGTCATCGAGAATATGTTGCCCCTAAAAATAAATAAAACAAAAATAAAGAAAAACCAAAGAGAGGGTGGTTCGTAAGCCTAGATGACGTACACGTGATATACGGAGCCTTATATACCCCCGATATGGCTACCCATGGTGCACCCGGCCTAGTACCCAGGCCCTGTTGTATCTCGTGCCGTCAAAATATTTATTTCTGTCTTCTTCGCGGGCTCATTCGTCAGAAATAACATATTTTGACTCCACTACACAACATCAACAGACAAAACGTAATGGCAAATAAGTTTATTTTGGGACGGCTTGGCGAGAACGAACCCTACAAAGTACGTAGAGTGACAAAGTATTGGGCGAAATGACAAATGAAAGCTCCTAGAGTCCAAGAAACTGAAAGCCTTTTTTCTAGGTCATCATCGGTAGACGTCCTTGGCTAGAACGGACTTCCAGCGGCCGAGCCACTGAAACACACTGTCACTAACCCCATTATAAGCAGCGGAAGTGGCCCCTCTCGAACGCAAGGAATAAAAAACCAAAAGTGGAAGGGTCAACCCCGAAACTTCTCAGGTCCTTGCGAAAAGCCTCTCTAATTGTGGTATAGCTGATAGGTTCGTCCTGGGAAACTAACTTAAAGGAACGTTCCCGCGAGACATGGGCCTAAAAATGAGATCCCTGGAGCTAGAGGGATGGACAAATCGGCAAGGTACAAGCAGGGCCAAACATTTCCGAAAAAATCACTCCGATCCATCGCCCTTACAAAGTTGGTCGTTCTTGCTTTTGAGAACCTAAATGATCATGAAACCCTCATGAAAATATAATTCCCCCTAATTATGGAGACCTCATCAAACCAAAAATCCTTTTGGAAGCACACCTAGCCCCTTCAATAATCGGTTTATCCGTGGGAGAGGGGATACCCGCCATGGTATGAGCCCATTTACTACCGTAAACAGCCGAGTCTAAGACGAACGGGGAGTGCGACTCTTCAATGAGGTATTGCAAATACAAGGCAACATGGCAGGGACTGGCAGGACAGGCCCAGGAATGAAGCTTACTGGCAGCAAAACATTTTTACTTGCGAGAAGCACGAAGGTACACCACTGTCGTACTAACGGCCTTTGAGGAGAGAATCGTCGATTGCATTGTAGACTGTCTGTAAGCCTCAGTATTCAACCCTCTGGTGGGAAATTCCGGGGCCCGCGATAGAAACGAGAGCGGAACATATCTGAAAAGTAATCGAAAATACAAGAAGAAAATGTGAGGAGCACCAAATAAAAAAGAATTATAAAAGAAAAAAAACGAGCTTAAAGCACCGGAAAAGGGAAGTGAGATGAGAGTGGGCGGAAGGGGGGGGGGATGGGGTCAAAAACCTAATGGGTCAAAACCTAAAGGTACGCATAACACGCGTATAGAGGCACAGGTAACACTTTCCGTCAGGCGGCGTCGAGCAGAAGCCCGCCAGGGACGAGGGAGGTCTGGGGCGCCGAAAATAAACTCGAAGCGCTATGACGCCAAAAAATAAAGACCTGGATCTGAAAAGGAAATTACGGGCCTTCCCTGGAACAAATAACCCCTGGAACTTAGGCAATAAAACCCAGTCGACAACAAAACTATTCCAATGCACTCCATCTCTAGTAGAAACATTCCAGAAAATAGCTGACTTCCATTGGGAAGGAACAAGGGTTCCCGTGAGCGCGGCAGAGCCCAATGTGTCTGATGACTCTGACAATGAGGCATACCTGTGGGCCAAGCCAGTTGTCGTCCTAACTCCAATTTAGAGCAAAGGCATAAACAGCCTAACAGCCTGGCTGAAAAAATCGAGAGTAAAGCCTAGGCAACTCGCCGCTGTAGCTACAGGCGAACCTGTCAATAGTGTAAGGACCTAAGAGGTGATTTAGCCCTTGAAAAACAGAATCGTTGAGGCCGTAACCATCGAAGTCAACGAGTTTGCAGATACAGTCCGCACTGGCGTTCAGGTCCCTAGGGATCCACTTGACCTCGAACGAAATACAATGATGGGAGCAAATTTGAAAAACAACTAGGGCTAAATCCCGGAGATCGCGTTTCCTACTGCCGTCGCGAAGAGTGGATTAGACGTTATGGTTGTCAGAATACCAAAAAACCTTGTACTGATTATGTAAAGGGCTCCCGAAGGCTAGTAAGGCGAGACAAACCGCTTTGAGTTCTCTCCAAGTCGATCTACCAACACTTTCCGACCAATTCTGATGAAAAATCAGCTCGGTTTCAGACTCCTCTCACGCGTGGCAGGCTGAATAGGAAGCATCGGAGAAGCCGGAGCTTACTCTCACTGGAAGCGAACTGGAACCCCTCAATAAATTTTGCCGTTGAGAGGCTAACATTGTTCGACCAAAATTCAATTTCATACAAGGAATCAACGGACAGGAAAACCTACAACCCCGGACAAAACCTGAACTTTTTGTGTTTAGGGGAGACGGGAGTAGGGCGCAAAAGTCAGAAAATAGCTGGAATTGTCTCAACAGTTTTGTCCGGGGTTGTCTGTGAAGGCCAGTTGTTCAAATCGCTGTAACTTCGCAATGTATGGTCGGAGGGTATTGATTTTTTGCACAGATGTTGTACTTGTCTAAAGCTTTGTGACTACGAAAGACGGTGTCATAAAAACAATAAGGACGCATTAATTATGCACTTAGAAATTTAGCCATAAATTAGAAACCTTATACCTAAATGAGAAAGAAATCATGCAGTTTACAGAAAAAGTATTGAAATTTATTGTGGTTGGTGGCCACGGTTAAGAAGTTACTGTGTGTCACAAGTATGGTATCTTAATAGGAGCCTTACCTCCGGCCTTTTTACCAACGTTAATTGTTCTTACATGTCGAATAAATTAGATAAGACTGGCTATTTATTATATTTGCGCAGGACAACTGTCCTGTTCAAAAATAATAGTGCGTGGTGTGCAGGTCATGCACGAGGACTCAAGAATGCGCCGGAGCAGTTAAAAATACCCCTTAGAGGTAGTGATACCTAGTTGCACTGACAACTTTCTCCATGTAGTTAGAGTAGAACTGGAAAAGTAAGCTTCACCGAGTTAACAATACCCGCGTTTACCGAGTGTGTAATTAGAACAATTTACAAGATATAGACCAGATTATTTACTTGACAAAATAATAGAATCCATGCCGATAAAACCGTTAATTTTTCTATGACAACCAAGGCCAAAAGAACAAATATTAATGAAAAACTTCCAAAATGGGTAGAAATAGGATGTGTAGGGAAAGCAATGCCTCTTTGATCACAAATACAGCGAAAACTTGTTGTCGGGCGATGGCAGTTTTTTTGTGGCAAAAAAAAAAACAAAAAAACAACAGCGCATTTCATGACAGTTACACCAGTGTCAAAAAGTTTTCCCTTAAGTAAAAAGGTCTTTTTAATGCTTGAAAATCAACAAAAAGGTTCTATATACTACGGAAAATGCTTGAAAGCACCGTAAACGCTTGAAATAAACGATTAACAGGCACGCACATGTTTATTCCAATGGTTAACAACGGTTAACAGCGGTTAACAGATTATATTAAAGGAAACTGATAGTCTAACTGCTGTTTTTCTTTAGAAAAGTTGTTAACCGTTGTTAACCGTCGTTAACCGATGTTTCTTTCCTCTGCTGTACTTTATTCGTTAAGTTAACCGTCTGCGAGAAAAACTACTCCGTTTTTGTTGCATAACAAGCTCATCAAAGCACCTTACACATCAAGGGATTTCCCGTTATTGTTCCCGCGGGATCTGCGTGGAGAAATGAGAGATCCATCATACCACATTCCCGCTCGTACACAATTCCACATTTGCTGTAACTGAGGCAATGTTGTCCTATTAAGTGTAGGATCTTTGCACTGCACTTGGCGAACAACGTAATCACTGTTAAGGCAAATTACTCGCGGGATGGAAAAATCAGCCAAATTCGCGTGACTGTAAGTGACCAGATAAGCGCACTAACCTTCCTCTCACCTAGTGATTTAGGCGATAATTCCGAGCCTCCTGAAAATGATTCGTCTCTATCGGAAGTTCTCGAGAGATCCATTTTGTCTGGCAATTACATATAAATGTCATCATTTGAGCAGGCAAAGCATCTACGGACACGTAAGCCGTTGAAAGTCAGCCCATGGTAACGTCCCAGAGTAAATGTCATTTGACTGATCATGTAATCAGAGTGTTATAACTTCAATTTTTTACTGTAAAAATTTTATTTCGCATTCAAAAGAAAAAAAAAGTATGCTGAAACAATGGATTTTAACAATTTGACCAAAAAAGAGGACTATAACTTGAGGTAATTGCTATGAAAGTTAAAGAATACCGAAAACAGTCCGCAGACAACCCCGGACAAAACCTGTTGAGACAAATCGCGAAAATGCCTATTTTTTCCTGTCATCCCGGGAAAAACTGAAACCTCCGCCAAATGAATGCCCGATTTCCCCCCTCCCCTTATCCAAAGTTGTTTAGGATAGCATGGCAATTATACACGTTGGTTTTTAGACCAAGGCAACTTTGAATAGGGGGTGGGGAGGGGGTTTACTTTTTGTGTTTAGGGGAGACGGGAGTAGGGCGCAAAAGTTAGAAAATAGCTGGAATCAACAGTTTTGTCCGGGGTTGTAGCTATCCCAGGAAACAGCTGAGTAAACAACTGAGAAAAGAAATCGGGCCATGATACACGCGACGGATCCCACGCAACTCGAGAGGGAAATACTTTGACCAGCTACACACGGGACGCGTAGAACGTAGACTGTGGTGGAAGACTAATATGAAGACAAAGCCACCAGGTCGTGAGACAATTTAGCAATGCGTTCATCCGTGGCTCTAATACTTCCATCGAGAGTGTTATGAACACGAAGCCACGAGAAAATTTGAACGGGCTCCCACAGGGACTTTTCCTCATTAGGAATTCGAACAAAGCGAGACTAAGGCAAATCGGTATGGACAGCCCGCAAACTGTAAACTTTGGCCTGAACGCGATAGGCTCCTCCTCCTATAGCTAGACCATAGTCAACAGAAATGGCAATAGGGATACCTTGGCTTCTTCTTGATTTCTGAAGCGGTTTGAGGGAGGCTGACAAGAACCCAAAGGGAAGCGGGCAAAGTAGAAAATACCTAAAAATCCAGGTGCCGAGATCCCAGGTGAACGTAAGGAAATACCGGTGATCAGGGAAAATTACGATAACCGCACTAGAGATAAAATATAAATAAATAAAACCCATCTCAAAAATTTAAGTGGCCATGGACAAGTCTCCGCACTTGAATTTCTGTTGGTAGAAAAAGGTGTCAACGTGCCTAAAATCCAGGATAAACCTTCGTTAGACGGAGGGGCGGGTCAAACAGAAAGCGGGTAAATGATATTGGAATGCAAAAAATTTCTGAATGGAGGTTGAGACTGGGAAGCTCATTAACAGCTACGGACAAAAAGAACTGTAAACACGTGCGGAGACATTGTAGGATTAGTAAAAACACATAAAAAGTTGGAAGAAGGGAATTTTGTAACTTAGACTAATAACATTCAAAATGAACAGAGAAACTAGCAAAGTATGCCACAAACAAATCAATATGAAAAATATTCCCCAAACTGAAGGTAGAATAGAAATATCAACGGTACACTCAGAGCTCTAAACCGCGCCTAAAACTAGCGGGGTGAACGTCAGAAGAAACTGGTATAACATCGAGACCATCCTGATCCATATTACGCCTTGCCGCTTAAAAAATTCAGTACTAAATTAGAATAGACTGCACCTGATTGTTGTCCTTCGTTTAGCCATTTAGGAGTTTGGGATGTTTGGCTTGTCCATTGTCGGGTAACAGGAACGCTTTCCACAGGCAAAACAGGTCCCGACACTGGGTCGAGGAGAAGGCGAAAAACAGGAACGTTTGACATAAGAGGCTGGGGTTGCATCTGTGAACTTGAGGTGGACGCCGGCGTTCCCACTGGCGAGGATCTGTTGTTGAGAGTTGAAAGAGTGGTTCTTCTTCTTACGGGCCTAGTACGCTATACCGCCGCAAAATTCTGCACTGTGGTTCCTTTGAAACTGGTCTTCGTTGGCCTTCTTCTTGAACTTACGGGGTTCGTTATACTTTAGTTTCTTAATTCCTTTCATCTGCTGCTCGGCCAAATATTCGTTAGCGCGCTTGATTTGACCAACGGTTTCTGTTAACAAATCTTTAAACGAGTCCATTAACTGTTTGTTATTCTCCTAAATGAGATCGGACACTTCGTCTCTGCTGACGGATATAACGCAAGAAAGAGCCGATAAGAACGTTAAGAAAAACCAAAGAGAGGGTGGTTCGTAAGCCTAGATGACGTACACGTGATATACGGAGCCTTATATACCCCCGATATGGCTACCCATGGTGCACCCGGCCTAGTACCCAGGCCCTGTTGTATCTCGTGCCGTCAAAATATTTATTTCNATGAGATCGGACACTTCGTCTCTGCTGACGGATATAACGCAAGAAAGAGCCGATAAGAACGTTAAGAAAAACCAAAGAGAGGGTGGTTCGTAAGCCTAGATGACGTACACGTGATATACGGAGCCTTATATACCCCCGATATGGCTACCCATGGTGCACCCGGCCTAGTACCCAGGCCCTGTTGTATCTCGTGCCGTCAAAATATTTATTTCTGTCTTCTTCGCGGGCTCATTCGTCAGAAATAACATTATATCAAAGGCGACGGCGAAGGTGAAAAGCAAACCATCATTAGTAACCATCTTCAAACTTCCTGACTTTAAAACTGGTTCAGGAAACCCATTGTCTGCTATTAGCTGCTTGAAGAACTTGGCAGACTTCTTGGGAACACGGGTGAGGTTGGGGTTGTTTTCAAAGTCAAAAAATGTATCCCGTACGGGGTGGAGTAGGCAGATCCCCACTCGAAGTTATCAATCAACGTCCACGCCATGTAACCTTTCACTTTAACGCCGTCATCGATGATCGCTTTCAACATCTCATTAGTATATCTGCAATAAATCCAGAAATGTGCAATAAATAGATGAGAACACCCACGATCGTGATCAGGGAAAACTATTGACTTCAATGTGTTAAGGCTGTGATTTTCCCAAGTTCTCGTCTAATGGAAGTAGCCGCTGTTACCTAAACTATGGGGCGCTAAGAGGAGCTGTTGCAGCTGAAGAAGCCTGTGTTTTTGAGTAAGTAACAAAATCCGTGATAAATGTCCTAATTCAACCTAATTGCTGCCGCGCGAGCGAGCCTGAAGCGAGCAAGCAAGGCAGCAGATTTAATCTGTACAGCGACAAAAATTTCCGATTCCTTCCGACGAAGCATCTGTATTTTTAACCACAATGTACCTGATTTTTACCACAATTACCTCCACACGCATTGCTTTCATATACCAACCTCCGCTGGCTTGCTGCATGTAGTTAGTTGAGGGTACTTGAAATCCTGTCTTGTAACGTGTCTGTGATGAATTTCTCTTTCATGACATATATATTAGCCAAGATATCTTCACACCGCCGGTGATGTTACGTTATATGTCTGAAGCTTTCGTGGTCTCGAAAACTCTCTAAGAATGTAATATGTGTTTGATTCGAAATTCTTTTAAAATCGTGTTGTTGTTTTTTTTCTTTTTCATTATTTATTATTATCTTCTACGCCTGCGGTTTTATTAAACTATCATTCCATAATAATTCTGGAGGATAGTAAAACATGCGACGACCTGGCGAACAAATTGCGTCACAAAAGCTACATATTAAGAATTCTAATTGCGCGCGCTATCTGAACGCGAGAAACACTAGGGCAGCACTCGTTTACCTTTCAGGTACACAAGTAGTTGTATATTTGTACGTTAATTACCGTTTTCACTCGATTAAACACAGCCATCGAAAAGAAGCCGTTCTCAAATAAACGCTGCACCCAATTGACCACTCCAGAGAATACCATAACATACCATAATGCTCTGTCTTTGTCACCCCAAAATTTTGCGTAACCATTGTTTTCAGTTTCTCTTGGGGCCATTTTAACTCCCAAGAGAAATTGAAGACAATGCTTATGCAAAATTTTGGGGTGACAAACAAAGAGCATTATGGTATATTATGGTATTTTCTGGAGTGGTCAATTAGCAGAATGCGGCGTTTATTCGAGGATAATAAGGAAAATGGTGCAACTTTGTAGTGTACACTACTACTCAGATAATTATTACGATTCTCTCTCAGCGAAAAGTGAGACATAAGAACTTAAAACATATTTATGTTTTACATAATACAGTCAACTCCCTTTATAACAGACACTGTAGGGACCTCGACTTTCTTTAGCCGTAGTAGGGGGAGTTTATTTCAGTCAAACGTTTCTAATTTGTTTTTTCCAGGGATTTAGCTACTGTCCGTTTTATCTGGGTGTCCGCAAGGCGTGAGTTGACTGTATTTACAATTGAATTATCGTAATTGTTGTCAGTGATTTAGAAATGTGATTTTGAAATGAACAGCGCCCTTGAATATTAATAAACGCCGCAATTGAACAATAAGTATTCAACTAAAAGCCGTGTCGTTTAATCGAATAAACACGGTATTTAGCTCTTATGGTAGTCCACTCTGAAAGCGTCATCCAACCTCTTTTCACCGGTTTTACTCGCTTCTGTAGGAGGTGAAACTCCATTCTCCGTTACGATACCTGTGGGTCGTTGTAATTGTCTTTTATGTATTTCAACAGCTTACGGAATCCAAATGGAGCCACGTGACCGTTGACCCAATCTGGCCACGCACGGTCACCACTCTTTGTGAAAGCCTCGTCGGCATTAAATGATTGTTCGTCTCCCGAGGGTCTGTCAGCCACTTTGTCGGTGGAGTAATGATTCAGGCCAAACAAATCGTAGCTTCGTTGATCATAATTTTCTCCTCCTGAGTGAAGCTAGGCAGGCGGCTTGCAATCCCAGCAGCCTCAATACGGTTACCCACAATGCTTTTAACAACATCAGGGTAATTACCGTTCACAAATATAGGATGCGTAAAGATGCCAAGATGAAACTGTAGCGGCCATGTCCCGGATCGAGTCAGTTTTTGGGACAGCCCAGCCTGAGCTTAAAGCAAGCATTATATTCCCACCCAGCTTTGCATAGAAATTCTCCCTGTAGGTCTGATAGGCTTTGGCATGGCCAAGTATTTGGTTGTAAGCCGTGCGATATCGTAGAGTGAATAGCTTGGTTTTATTCGATATGTATCCAAACATGTAAAAGGGATGACGTAACATGACGATCGCCGGCTCGTTCAGAGTGATCCAGTATTTCACTTTACTCCCGAATTTGTCGAAACAGAATCGAGCGTAGTTATCGAAGTAGTCGACCATACTTCGATTGGTCCAGCCACCAATCGATCAGAAAACGTCTGGTAGATCCCAATGATAAAGTGTGACGAGCGGTTCGATGTTATTCTTCTTGAGTTCGTCGATTAAATTGTTCTAGTAGTCGACGCCAAGTTGGTTCACGTGATTTGTTGTTCCGTTAGAGAGGACACGACTCCATGCGATAGAAAATCGATAAGCTTTAGCTCCGTAGTTCTTCAAAATGTTTACATCTTCTTTCTACTTATGGTAACTATCGCACGCCACATCTCCCGTTTTGCTGCGGAATTGATTGGGTACGGTGTGCGTCAAAAAATCATAAATACTTGGTCCCTTTCCGTCTTCATTCCAAGCTCACTCCACTTGATATGCCGATGTGGCAGCACCCCACATGAAATCATCAGGAAATTTGCCGTATTTGAAATCGTCGTATGTCGTCGCAAGAGACCCAGCAAAGGCGAAATACAGCAACAAAATAAAAGAGCAAGTACACGCCATGATGCTGTATCGGATCTGTAGGGGACTGATTGATTAAGTTTCCTGACCTGTACTGCTGGAGTGCAAAACGCAATAATGTCAAGTGTATTATTGTGTCTGTTCGACTATTTTAGTAAAGTTTCTTTGATTTGATGAGTCCACCACCCAGGGGTTCCACGCACATATTTTAATGACGGGGGGGTCCGACAGAGGTTCATATTTTATACTCAAAAAAATCCCAACTTCAGAATTTCTCTACCCAAAAAAAATCCCTACTTTTTTAGGATACCCAAAAAAATCCCTCAGTGTTTTTGCATCAGCAAATTTTATTATTTATCTTCTGAAATAATTGAGTCAGCGACACATCTTTGTATGGGTTCATAAACCACTTTGGCAAGCTTGATGTTATGTTACTAATATTTTCAAGAGAACTTCTTCACACAACAAAAATGGGATCACAACTGACTGGACCTCTTAGCTCTTGCTGGAACTCTACAGCATTGACTCCCGGTTTGTGTTTAGTTTACAAAATCAGTTTTCCTTGCCTTTATTTTTACATAGCAACGTGATCATTTGATAATAGATATATATCAGCGGGTAAACATCTAATTCATAAAATGTTTACTTTGTATACAGTGTTTCCATTGTGGTCTTGATGACTGGCTTGAAAGACCTTGAATGACGTGACCTGTTGAATATTTCTCTCTGGATTAGATGCGCGTGGAGTGCCGGTAATTACTTTTCAAATGGATTAAAATCTCAGAAATATCCCGTAATACTACACAAGCAGTAAATTGCGCTTATGTTATTGTTGATTTGAGCTAATGAAAAAGACAATACCCAAAATAATCCCTGTGTTGTTTTCGCGACCCAAAAAAATCTCGGCGTTTTTCATAGACCCAAAAAAGTCCCTTTTGGCCAAAATGTCAGACCCAAAAAAATCCTTCGC